GCGCAGCAATGCTCTTTCTAGCTGTCGCAGGCGGCTTCGGTGTAGATGTAGACGCACTCGTAGAATATTGCGTGACAAGCTCGGCCCACGTAGGTACTGCGGCAGGAGCTTCAGTAGTCTTCTCAACTTTTGGGTTTATCGTAGCTTGACATCCTCCAATAGATATATCACGACTGGCTGGGGCTGATTCAGCACGCACACGCACCACTGGGACGCGCCGCTTGTCATTGCCACGTTGCCGTACACTCACAAATTCAGATTGCCATCCCAGCTGCGCCTTGAGCTGGTCACACAATGATTTTCCGTCGATTAAAGCTGGCAAGGGGGAGATCTCATAGATCGTGGCCGCTGGAGGAGCTCTTTGCTGGAGCACCTGCCATGCTGCTGCAGCGCTTTGCTTTTTGACACGAGGAAAGAGATTGAGCGACTTGAAGTGATAGCCAAGCCCGCACGCACCTTCCAGGGAGGCAGTCAACTCGATCGCCTCGGCAATGGTTTTGCCACGCTGGAAGGGCACAAACTCCTCATCTTGTTTTTCCTGTTTGAGTACTGCTCCGTCACTGCCAATGTTGGATCTCTGAAAGAATACTCCATCAGGGCCTGACACTTCTCGAAGCTGCTGAACTCGATTTGCTGGTATACGAAATAAAGCTGACAATACACGGCGACCTGTATCATCCTCGTTGAACATCCGTCCACTGTAACATATAATCTCCCAGTCAGTGGGGACAAGTTTGGTCTTCACGACGTTGGCCATCTCAGCGTCGAGGACGCGCCAGGGTGGCATCCCATTGAACTTCTTGCGCGGGCCTCCACCACCCGCTTCAGCACGCTTATCACGAGCCGCTGTTGCTTGGCGATGAAGACGCACTAGCTCCTTAAATAGCTTTTCCGGTGAGTGCTCCTCCAGTACCGCCACAGACATAAGCACTTCTGACTGGCATTCGATCCTGGTGGGGACACGTGTAGGTTTGATGGCCGTGCCCTGCTCGCCAACGTGCTGCCACACGAATAGCTTGCGTAGTTCACGGCGGCCGTCGGGATGAACCAACGGTACACTCAGTAGTGAGATGAGGTCCGTCAGCCCACGTTGAGCACACTGAAGTACAAGATCTTTGGGTAGGCTATCTGGCGGTTGTGCGAGAACAAATCCAAATGGGTCGCTCGAGGGCGCCCTGATCCAGAAGTCCTTATCTGCAAGTAGCTGTGACATTTCATTGACGGTAACCAGATGGATCCGCTTCATGTCGTCATACTGTTGAGGTAGTCCACGCGTGGTGGGCAAAGACCAGTCAGCATCATCAAGCTTGGTGGTCGTCTGCCAGCTCGGTGGAATAGTAGCCGTAGTAGTTTTCTTATTCTTGAGCTTCTTTTTCTTGGGCTCTTTGTCCGTTGCTGGAGGTGTAGATCCGATCGGCCTCTCCTTCAACCACTTCGTGATCTCTGGAAAGATTTTGTCTGCCTCCATTCGTGAAACTTCTGCCATACGCTCCTTGCTCACGTTCCTGAGGTGGTCGTAAGTCTTCTGGGCCTGTGGCATGCCTTTGATCTCGAGCACCGTCGTGACTCGAGACGCCATCATTGCAGGAGTATTGGCCAACTTCGCCAATCTCTTGCGCAGCGCAACCTTTGCTCCACGGTCAGGTCCATTGCCGTGGAGCGCGTGTTGAAGTTTATTCCATGCTTGGTGGGCCATCAGCCACCTGTATCCCAATGAATATTCCCGATCACCAGGAAAGACGAAGCCCCAACAACATCCTTCCCCAAAACTGATATCAATATTCTGAACATACATGTGAACGTACTTCGCAACGTCATCAGGGGCACCGTGCAGCACTGCAGGGTCACCCTCCCACTTCGTTGTCATGACAACCGAGGGCTCGAAGTTGGAGCCCAGAAGGTTGTACGTCTCGGTGGAGCAGGTCCAAGAGCTCGTGGTCGAGCCCCTCAGGTCATACTCCACTGTGTCACCCAACTCCACGGCTGCCATGACCCGCTGCACGGCAGCGAGCGCGTCCAGCCCCCGCGCGCGCTCCAAGAGCAGCGCGCGAGCCGGCAAGCGGGCCCCCGCCGCGTGGCCAGCCAGGCGGTCCGCGGCCGCGTTGCCGGCATGGTCCTCCGGGGAGACCCCCCGTTCGCGGGCCGCGGCAGCATCCAAGTGCGCTTTCACCCATCGCGCGCGCAGGGCGCCGCTGCGGCAGTGTGGGGCGACGCGTTCCCACAGATCCGCGTGCGCCCACTCTGCAGGGTTAGCCCCGCCGCGGATGGCCGCCAAGCCGCGGCTGATAAACCGGGAGTCGGTGACGACGTCGACAGGCCCCCTGGCCAGGTTCAGCGAGGCGCACCGCCGCGGTGAGTTCCGCCCGCTGGGCAGTCCGCCCGCCGTCCTCCGGCCCGCTGTGCTCCACGAGACCCGTCGCGCCCACCGCCCACGGCCGGATTCCCCGCCCACGGGCGGGTCGCCCGGGCGCCCACAGCGAGCGCGCTTCGCGCTTGGACCGCGCTTCGAGCAGTACTGCTCGGATGTCGAGCAGATTCAGGTCCCCGGTCCAGCACTCGACGTCCGCGCCCAGGTGCAGCTCCGCCAAGCTCCGGAGGGCGGCGGAGACGGGCCCCGCGCCTGTGACCTGCGCCCTGGGCCGCCGTGGCGTCCCGCCACGCCTACACGGGAAGACGGCGGGATCGAAGCGCCTTGGCGGCCTGCCAGAGCGGCGCCATGACCACGACCGCCGCCGGGTCCAGTCGTCAGCTCGGCGCCAGCATCCCGAAAACGATGTCAGCGGCTGGCCGCATGCCACCGCGGCACACGGCTGCCGCGCCGCCGTGCGGAGGCCGGCCAATTCTCGCGCCGGGGGCCGGCCGTAAGCCTCGCCGTACAGGCCAGCCGCCGTCCCTGCGGCAGCGCCCAGCCGGCAACGCACGCCAAAGCCGACCGGCAGCTTGCCGAGCCTGCCGAAATGGCCCCGCGCGACACGCAGCCGGTCCGCGGTGACAGCGCACCGACGGGCCTTCCCAGCGGTGGCGGCCACACCCGTCGCGGAACTCCGTGCTCGCGGAGATCCCGGGCGTCTGGTCCGCCAGCCAACGCCGGAACATCGCGCGAGTAGCAAATTGGCGCGACTTCGTCCAGTTCAGCCTCCAATCCAAGGCCGCCTCAAAGGCCTCCTCGTCTGCTGCGCCGCCGCCGGCCTCGGCCGCGACTTGGGCCCAGAGCGTGAAGTCGTCGACGTACACCCTGCGGCGGAGGCGGTCGCTGACGCGGCCCGCGCGCACCATCCACGGCCGCGTCAGGACTCCGAGCACGAACGCCGCCAGAGCGCAGCCTGGCAGAAGGCCGCGCTTGGGCGACCACGGCGAGCCGATGGCCCTGCCGACTCGCACCCGGCGGCTCGCCGAGTAAGCCGCCAGCGCTGGCCCTGCGACCCATGGCGGGACCCCTGCCCGAACGAGCACGGCAGGCACCGTACTCAGGTCCACCATCTCTTCAGCGAGGGCGTCGGCCGCCTCCAGCTCCAGTGCCAGCTCCCACGCGAGGTCCTCCAGTGCGAGCTCCCACGCGAGGTCACGCAGAAACGCCGAGGCACACGGTAACGCCACAGCACCCGACGGAGTGCAATTTTTGAACGAGCGGGGCCGCGGTCGGTTCTGGGTTAAACGATCCACGCACTGTCAAGAACCTGTGCGCGCGCCGACGCCGCACCAACCTTCCGTAGGGCTCCCCAAGCATTATAGTCAGCCCGCATAGCATAGCGAGGAGGAGCGATTTTCCTAGGTCACCCTTGCATCCTTCCCCTTCGGCCCATCCTTGGCCGCCTTTCGCTGGTCGCGCCCCGCTCGCACAGTGTCGACATGGCCTTCCAAGGCCCTTGCGTGTCCTGACCATGCGTCGTTCTCACCATTACGGGTTGACTGTGTGCGGCGCCGCAGCCCCGCGTTCGCTGCGGGCGTGCCGCGGGGACAGGAAAACCTTGCGAGGGCGAGGCTTCATCGAGGGCGCCCTCGGCGCGTTCGCGCCGAGGGCCGCCTGCCACGGAGTGGACCTCGAGGCAGCCCTGCGGCTCCGCCTCCACCGTCCCTGCAGTCGAGACGCTGAGATAGGGACCGCTGTGGGTTCGGAGGGGGCTCGCTGCTCCTCGGTCCTCGGGTCTTTCCGTGGTTGTTCCCCTGGCCCTCCTCGTGCATCCGGTCGTTCCTGGTGCCACACAGGGGCCTTGCAAAGCTCCTTCCCTCAACGATTAAGTCGGGCCTGATCCTCCACAGGGGGAATATGCAATAATAGTCAGAAAATAGTTTGGGGATGGGGGACTATTGTTTAACCATTGTTGAGCATTGTTAGGGCATCTTGGGGGTATTTTTGATTTTTTGTTCAAACTCGGCCTGTAGGGGGACAGGCCCGACTTAACTAAACGACCCAACTGTACGGCAGGCTCGGGCCGTGCCGACCTCGGCGTTGGCCGAGGCTCGAACGCTCGTTCGGCAGCGACCGACTCGGGGTAGCCAGCGGCGCTCGACGCGGAACGCCAGCGGCGGGGTCGTCGCTGTTCGACATTCGGCTTAAGTCGGGCCTGTCCCTCTACAGGGGGGATATTCAAAAATAGTCAACAAAAATTAGTACGGGGACTACTTTTTGTATTTTGGGGCATCTTTTAAGCATTTTTTGATATGTTTTATTTTTCGTCCAAAATCCCCCTGCAGGGGGACAGGCCCGACCTAACATTAGGCGAGCCCGCCGTAACATCCCTCCCTCTCGTCCCCCGCTTCCGGGTCGTTCTCCTTCTTGCCCCGCCCCGGTCCACTGGCGCGAGAGGTTGCCCTCTGGCGGAGCCGTGCAGGAATCGGCGGGATCGGCAAGGGCGAATGACCCAGGGGCGGGCATTACACGTATTCGCCCGGGAGCCTCGACGCAGACATGGATCGTCGGCGCCCCGGGATACGTGTGCTGCTCTGCCCTGGGGTCTTCGCCCCTACTCTCGCCTCTGAAGGGGCTGGGCGGTCCCCAGGTGCCGTTCGTGACCACGATCTTCCTCTTCATCTTCGGCTCCAACTGGTCTGGGGCGCTGGTGCCGTGGAAGCTGCTGGAGACGGGGGACGGCGGAGGGAGCGGCCCGGGCCACAGCTCCTCCTCGCGCTCCCCGGGTGTTTCTCCGTCCCTGCGGCGGTCTCCTCTCTCTTACCTTCCCAGAGATCCAACGCATTGAAAAAATCAAGACTCAATTTTTTCATACATTTCGGCCACTAGGGGCCCTCGCCGGGCCTGGGGACCGTGACAAAAACGACTCGGGATGAAAAACTGGTCCTGGGGAAAGAGTCGAGACTTCCGGGGGCCGCGCATTGAAAAAATCACGACATCGGATCTTTGGGTTCACAAGCACCTCCACAGGGTTATGTTTACCCCTCAAGGGCATGTGCACCACACTGCAGTTCCCTCCTCTCCCTCCTGCCCCGCCGCTGCCTCTGTGTCCCACTCACGCTGTGCAGCAGCCCTGTCAGGCCTACGGATCGCGACTTGGATCCGAGACGCTGCCGACGAAAGACAAGTTCTCCCCGTCTCCCTCTCCTCCTCATCCTCGTGCGGCCCTTCGAGAGCTGGGGGGAAGAGGGAGGGAGGGGGAAGAGCGAGTCCCAGAGTCCGCGGAAGACTTGTGTGCACCATACCGCATTGGCGTCTCCCGAAGCGTCGTCGATTCTCGGCCCAGGACTGGTACGGCGCATAGTTGTCGGCCCCTCAGAGCCGAGCCCATGCAGCGTACCGCGATATGGAGCGGGGCCCGAAGGGAGTCCGGACATGGCAAGGCGCACGGGTGTCTGGCAGGCAAGGCAGTGCCAGCGCGAGCATGTGTGGGGAAAGAAGGGGGGAGGTGGGGTGGAGGGCAACAAGGGAGGGAGGGAGGAGGGCAAGGAGGGAGGAGGAGGAGGAGGAGGAGGAGGAGGAGGAGGAGGAGGAGGGAGGGAGGGAGGGAGGGAGGAGGAGAAGGAGGAGGAGGAGGAGGAGGAGGAGGAGGGAGGAGGAGGAGGAGGGAGGGGAGGAGGAGGGGGGGAGGGAGGATGAGAAGGAGAAGGAGGAGGAGGAGGAGGAGGAGGAGGAGGAGGAGGAGGGCACGGGGCACGGAGGAGCACGTCCGGGGGAAGAGAGGGAGGGAGCGAGCCTTCGGGGGCGAGGAGGAGCGGGCAGGGCGGTGCCGCGGCAGGGCCGCCCCGCGCGCCTCGCCAGGAGCTCCCGGAGGGCGAGCTCGCGGCGCCCACCAACAACATCAACACCACCGTGGAGGGGCGGGCCCGTGGGTCGCTTCGGCGGCGAGCAAGGGCCAGAGGAGGGAAAGGTACCCATACCGCTACCCTTCTTCCCTCGTTTCCCCCTTTTTGGGTCTCCTGGGAGGCCCTCGCCGCCACCGCTGGATTCGCCTCGAAGTTCTGGTCAGAACGCACCCCGAGAGAGGTCCGGGGAGTAGCGGCGCGGTATCGATACCTTTTGGCTTCCCTAGAGGGGGGAAAGCGAGAAGGAGAAGGCCTTCTCAGGATGCTCGGAAGTCCCCTGGCCTTCCGAGAAGTTTCCTGAGCCTTCCCCAACGACGCAGAAGGCGCGAGGGCTTCCTCTGCTCGTTCTCTCTTTTCTTCGCCGGGCGATAATCATACTTGCTGACATAGCACGTGTTGCCGTCAATGTCCAGCTATTGGGTATTATGTTCGCGGGCCGCACGGGAAGTCTGAGGATCCAAGAATACGTATAGCATCTCGGTGAAGCGCGCCCGAGAGTTCGCTTGGTGAGACGTCTTCGTTTCGTAGCACTGGGAGAGAAGTACACGCCGGTCGTTGAAAGTATGTATGTTTGGATTCCCACATCCCAATCTACTTCAAGCGCCTTCCTATTCCAATAATCGACCTGCTTTTGCTGTGTTTTGTAATTATCTTGGAGATCCTGGACCCAATCTACTATATCCGCCTTCCTAATTCCTTTTTCTATGTATACCTACTTCTTCCGACCGACGTGTAATTCAAGATGATTACGCCATGCCGCCGACCCTCAGAAGAGAACATGTGCGGTTTCCGATGCTCACAGTGTTGCTTGCCACGTCCCGTCGTGCTGCTTGCGTGGAACCCCCAGGGATAGTAAAGTTCGGGGTTTTCGGGGAGATGATGAATGTTGCCCGCCAGAGCCCGCATAAAGAGATATCAAGAGAAAAAAGCCAAAGATATCTTGAGGATTGTCTCGGTTGAGACATCCTCAACGAATTGCTTGTTTCGCTTGAGACATCCTCGAAATATTTGTCTGTTTCGCTTGAGACATCTTCAAAGTATTGCTTATTTCGCTTGAGACATCCTTGAGGGAGGAGGAGGAGAAAGAGCACGAGGAGGAGAGGAGAAGGAGATAGCAAACATCCAAAGTTTAAAACTTATTATATTTAATTTGTAAACGCTTGATGAACATTAAAGTTTTCATCTGATCGTGTAGGGTAGCTCACGTGCCTCGTTTTCCCAGGATAATCAACCCCAGTGAGAAACAAGTTCAGGGCGCAAGGGGGAGGAGGAGGAGAAAGAGATAGAGAGACAGAGAGAGAGAGAGACAGAGAGGCCAGGAAGGAGAAAGAGATAGAGAGACAGAGAGAGAGAGAGACAGAGAAAGAAAGAAAGAGAGACAGAAAGAACTACAAAGAGGCAGAAGGACATTGGTTTCGCTTGAGACATCCTGAAACAACGTGTTCGCTCCGCTTGATGTTGTTATCTCAACATAAGAAGGAAGTAACCTCGATGGCGAACTTTTCCCGTGATAATGAAGTTCGGCCTCCGCGCCCCCGCGCCCCCGACCAAACTCTTATTGGTCGACGATAAAAAAACTCTAACGACTTAAGGGGGGGTACATTATTACCGTGGGTTCGCGGTTAGTTGTTTCTGGGCGACCTAGATATGTCATGGCGGGAGAACGTCGAGTTCATGGGAAGCGCTGGTTTTGGTGAGACGCATTCGTCTTTTGAGTTTCGTCGTCGTCGTCCCATTTCCTCATCCTCCCCCCATTGCTTCCGTCCACCTTGCCCTCCTGATCACATTCCTGCTCTTCCTCCGTTTCCTCCTAGTCTCCTCATCATCCAGTTCGTCGTGTTTCCCCTGCTCGTTCTCCTTAACCTTACTCTCATCCTCCTCATAGTCCTCGTCGTAATCCTCGTCGCCCTCGTCCTCGCCTTCGTCGTCTTTGTGGTCTTGTTCTCGTCATTCTCGTCGTCGTCATCCTCGTCGCGTTCGTCGTCGTCGCGGCTGTGGTTATCGTTGTCGTCTTCGTCGTCTTCTCCCTCATCCTCCTCGCCTCCTCCTGCTCATAGTGTCATACTCGTGTCCAGTCCGGCACACCCATCACACGCTTGGTGGCCAAAAAAGAAGCTCCACCGAAGGCCCCAGCGGCATGGTCCGCATGCGTCCCCCCGCCCATTTCGGCACACCCCTCGCGAGGATCATGCCCCCATAGGGAGATCCAAAGAAGGCCCCAGCGGCAGGGTCCGCACGCGTCCCCCCGCCCATTTCGGCACACCCCTCAGGAGGATCGTGGCCCACAGGGAGCTCCACCGAAGGCCACAGGGAGGGTCCGCATGCTCCCCCGCTCATTTCGGCACACCCCTCACGAGGACCGTGGCCCGAAGACCCCAGTGGCAGGGTCCGCATGCGCCCCCCCGCCGATTTCGGCACACCCCTCACGGGGACCGTGGCCCCAAAGGGAGCTCCACCGAAGGCCCCAGCGGCATGATCCGCACGCGTCCCCCCGCCTATTTCGGCACGCCTCTCACAGGGACCGTGGCCCCAAAGGGAGCTCCACCGAAAGCCCCACTGGCAGGGTTCGCATGCGTCCCCCGCCCATTTCGGCGCACCCCTCACGAGGATCGCTGTACATAGGGAGCTCCACCGAAGGCCCCAGCGGCTGGTCGGCTTGCGTCCCCCCGCCCATGTGGGCACACCCCTCTCGAGGGTCGTGGCCCCACAGGGAGCCCCACCGAAAGCGGTACCCACAACGCGGTACGCACAGTTGCATATGATGAGTTCTTTCGCCAGGATAATTTGGGTTGGCGGAGGGTCCCATGTTTTTGAGGGATAACAACACATCACAACACATAGTTACACACAACACTCACTGTGGCTATAAGCACAGCGTGTTCTTCGGAGCAGAACATCCGTTGTGCCCGCGCTCGTTTCGTATTTCTGCTGCGCAGATGTGGATGGTCAGTGGAAGGGGGGGAGACAGGACGGGGGAATTGAAAGATGGAGGAGGGCAAGTCACGGAACAATGGAGGTGGAGAGGAGAGTAAGGAAGGAGAGGGGGGCGAGGGGGGATGGAATAATGTCAGTTTGTGGTTCACAAAAACAAGCGGAGCGCGTGATTAACAAGATGGTTTCTTTGCTCGGGCGACTCGAAGGGGGGGGCGTCCGCCGAATAAAAACGCACGGCGGCGGCGCCGGTGATTAGCGCCGACGCCCCGCCGACAGCAGGAGGGCGACAGGCGCGACGCAAGCGGCGCCGCTTCAGCGGAGGGTGGCAGCAGCGCCTGCGCTATAACGGGGCGGTTGGGCCAAAATTGTTACAGACAGGAGAGAAAGAGGAGGCGGGGGAAAGACCTCAGCTGGCGGGCGGTGCCGACATGGCTACAAACACGAACAGAACAAGGGGGGGGAAGAAGCGACAAAGGCAGGCGGAAAGGGCCTCCTTCTCCTTCTCCGCCCCCTGTCCCCCACTATATATTATCCTGCGACGACGACGACGGCGGCGGCGACGGCGGACGACGACGCACTGTGGATGCTCAATGGGGGGGGGGCTGCGCGTGTCCGCTGTGCTCGTCGACGGTGACGACGACAACGACGACGACGACGACGACGAGGATCTTGACGAGGACAAGGACGAGGACGAGGACGAGGACAAGGAACGACGGCGACGACGTCGACGATGACGACGACGACGACGACGACGACGACGACGACGACGACGACGACTGGTGGCGCGTCAGTAGTCAGCCTGGGAGGGGGGAAACTTCGCCTCGTATACTTCCTTGTAACAACTTATATACGAAAGGCAATCGTTTTGAGGCCGTCGTGCAGGTGGGTGCACGATCCTCTCGGCGGCGCCCGCGACGACCCCCTGGCGCGCGTGATTAGCAGAGTCGTTTCGCGCCCAACGGGATCTTTTCATCAGGCCCCCGGGGGGGGCATCATTTCGTACAGTCGGCCCGGATTAGTAGGTCGGCCCTGCCAGATCAAGGGTACGTTTATGTCCTTTGTCTCGCGACCCATGCCTCCTGCATTCCTATGGCAATGTGGCCCTTGGAAGAGTCTTTTGTCCTCTCGCGTGTCCTGTCCAATGAGGTCCTACTGCAATCACAAGCTGACATTCGGGAGGAAGGGCGATGACCGATTTGGCAAAAAGAGGCCTTGGAGGGCGTGTCCCCGGGCGGGGAGGCGCTGAGCTTGCTGACCTCCATCGCCTACTTCGGCGGCGGCTTGGTGAAGAAGGCCCCGCGCCCGCGCAGTTCAACCCCCTCCGTATCCTCCTCCCCCTCTCCGTACCATTTCCGCCCTCTTGACCTCAGCTTCCCCCTCCCGTTCCGTTCCCCATTCTCTTCTCCCCCCGCCACTGCAGCTCTTTCCCCCTCGCCCTCTCCCTCGCCTCCCCGTCCCCCTCCCTCTCTCCCACTGCCCCTTCCCCCTTCCGTCCCCCATGGGCCTGACCTTCCTTCCATTTCTGGCCGCTGCTCCAGCTCCTGTCCCCACCCCCGCTCCGGTTGCTCAGCATGCTGCTATCCACGAGGTGTTCCTCTTGTGTTGTTGGTTTGCGCGATCTGTGATTGTCCTGCTATCGAAGACGCCTACGGCGAATCACCGCCGCCCCCTGCCTTTTTGGAAGCGCCTATGTGGCCAAACGTTGAGGCCAGACCTGCCAAGCTACCTTGTGTTTCCCTAATCGGTTTGGAAAGCCTTCGGGGAACACGTGGGCATCTTGAAGGTCACCTTGGCCGTCTGGAGGCCATTTTGACCCTTTCGGGCCTTCTTGGAGGACGTCTTGGAGGGCTCGTGGGCCGTCTTGGAGGCCATCTTGAGCGTCTGGGAGGCATCTTGGGCCGTCTTGGGGGCCTCTTGGGGCCGTCTTGGGCCTCTTGGGCGATCTTTGGGGGCACTTGGGCCGTCTCGGGCCGTCGGAAGGCCGAAAAGAAGCAAATGCCACAATCCTTCAAAAACCCATGGGAAATCAATGATTTGGGCCTTTTCGGGCCATCGTAGGGCCATGTCCTGCCGTCTTGGTGGGCTCCTGGTCCGTCTGACGCCGTCGGAAGCCGTTTGGGGGGCCTCTCTGGGCCGACTTGGGGTCCTCTTGGAATGCTCCAGGGCCGTCTTGGAGGCCATCTTGGGCGTCTTACAGGCCTCCTGGGCCGTCTTGGGGGCCTCTTGGGGTCGTCTTGGGGCCCTCTTGGAGGCCTCTTGGACGATCTTTGGGGGCCCTTGGGTCGTCTCGGGCCGTCGGAAGGCTGAAAAGAAGCAAATGTCAAAATATGTCAAAAACCTATGGAACTTACATGTTGTTGGCCTCTTCTGGCCTTCCTGGAGGCTCTCTTGGAGGCCTCTTGGGCCGTCTTGGGCCAGCTTCGATCCACCTTCGGCCATCTTGTTGGCTTCCTGGCACGTCTGACGCCGTCGGGAGCCGTCTTGGGAGCCTTTCTGGGCCGACTTGGGGCCCTCTTGGGGCGCTTCGGGGCCGTCTTGGAGGCCATCTTGGGCGTGTTGGAGGCCTCTCGGGCCGTCTTGGGGCCCTCTTGGGGCCGTCTTGGAAGCCTTTTGGGCCGTCATGGGGCCGTCTTGGGGGCCTCTTGGGCGATCTTGGGGGCCTCTGAGGAAAATTAATGATTTTGGCCTCTCCGGGCCGTCTTGAGCCGTCGGAATGCCGAGTAGAAGCAAATTTCAAAATCCTTCAAACATCTAAGGACAATCAATGATTGTGGCCTCTCCGGGCCCTCCTGGATGACCTCTTGGAAGCCTCTTGGGCCATCTTGGAGGCGTCTTGGAGGCTTCTTGGGCGAACATGGGATTGCCTTGGACTCTCAGAGGCCGTCTTGGAACATCTTCGGCGGACTTGAAGGCCATCTGGGACCATCTTGGAGGCCATCTTGGGCCAACGTGGCCATCTTGGAGGCCATCTTGAGCCGTCTTGGAGGAACATTTGGGAATTGGGCGATGGCTGGCGTTTTATGGGTCGTGCTGGGGCCCCCGCGGGACGGGCCGAAGCCCCAGGGGGAGTTCTTTTGGACAAAGAACCAAAACCCAAACCAAGAGGATCCAGCACGCCAGGCACCCCTGCGATGAATCGAAAGGGGGCGGCGGATCGAAGATGCCTACGGCGGATCACCGCCGCCCCCTGCCTTTTTGGAAGCGCCTATGTGGCCGAACGATGAGGCCAGGCCTGCCAAGCTATCGGACCTTGTGTTCCTCGAATCGGTGTGGAAAGCCTTCGGGGAACACGTGGGCATCTTGAAGGTCACCTTGGCCGTCTGGAGGCCATTTTGACAATTTCGGGCCTTCTTGGAGGATGTCTTGGAGGACTCTTGGGCCTTCTTGGAGGCCATCTTCAGCGTCTGGGAGGCCTCTTGGGCCGTCTTGGGGGCCTCTTGGGGCCGTCTTGGGCCTCTTGGGCGATCTTTGGGGGCACTTGGGCCGTCTCGGGCCGTCGGAAGGCCGAAAAGAAGCAAATGCCACAATCCTTCAAAAACCCATGGGAAATCAATGATTTGGGCCTTTTCGGGCCATCGTAGGGCCATGTCCTGCCGTCTTGGTGGGCTCCTGGTCCGTCTGACGCCGTCGGAAGCCGTTTGGGGGGCCTCTCTGGGCCGACTTGGGGTCCTCTTGGAATGTTCCAGGGCCGTCTTGGAGGCCATCTTGGGCGTCTTACAGGCCTCCTGGGCCGTCTTGGGGGCCTCTTGGGGTCGTCTTGGGGCCCTTTTTGGAGGCCTCTTGGACGATCTTTGGGGGCTCTTGGGTCGTCTCGGGCCGTCGGAAGGCTGAAAAGAAGCAAATGTCAAAATATGTCAAAAACCTATGGAACTTACATGTTGTTGGCCTCTTCTGGCCTTCCTGGAGGCTCTCTTGGAGGCCTCTTGGGCCGTCTTGGGCCAGCTTCGATCCACCTTCGGCCATCTTGTTGGCTTCCTGGCACGTCTGACGCCGTCGGGAGCCGTCTTGGGAGCCTTTCTGGGCCGACTTGGGGCCCTCTTGGGGCGCTTCGGGGCCGTCTTGGAGGCCATCTTGGGCGTCTTACGGGCCTCCTGGGCCGTCTTGGGGGCCTCTTGGGGTCGTCTTGGGTCCCTCTTGGGCCGTCATGGGGCCCTCTTGGGGGCCTCTTGGACGATCTTGGGGGCCTCTTGGGCCGTCTCGGGCCGTCGGAAGGCCGAAAAGAAGCAAATGTCAAAATACGTCAAAAATCGATGGAACATACATGTTGTTGGCCTCTTCTGGCCTTCCTGGAGGCCCTCTTGGAGGCCTCTTGCGCCGTCTTGGGCCAGCTTCGAGCCACCTTCGGCCATCTTGGTGGCTTCCTGGTACGTCTGACGCCGTCGGGAGCCGTCTTGGGGGCCTTTCTGGGCCGACTTGGGGCCCTCTTGGGGCGCTTGGGCGTGTTGGGGGCCTCTCGGGCCGTCTTGGGGCCCTCCTGGGGCCGTTTTGGAGGCCTCTTGGGCCGTCATGGGGCCGTCTTGGGGGCCTCTTGGGCGATCTTGGGGGCCTCTGAGGAAAATTAATGATTTTGGCCTCTCCGGGCCCTCCTGGAGGACCTTTTCGAAGCCTCTCGGGCCGTCTTGGAGGCGTCTTGGAGGCTTCTTGGGCGAACTTGGGGTGACCTTGGACTCTCAGAGGCCGTCTTGGATGCCGTCTTGGAACATCTTCGGCGGACTTCCAGGCCATCTGGGACCATCTTGGAGGCCATCTTGGGCCAACGTGGCCATCTTGGAGGTCATCTTGAGCCGTCTTGGAGGACCATTTGGGAATTGGGCGATGGCTTGTGCGTTTTATTGGTCTTACTGGGGCCCCGGCGGCACGCGCCGAAGCCCCAGGGGGAGTTCTTTTTGAAAAAAAACCAAAACCCAAACCGAGAGGATTCAGCACGCCAGGCACACCCCTGCGATGAATCGACGGGGAGCGGCGGATCTACTGGCCTTCGGCTCATCCCGCCACCGTGCCTGGGCTTGGTATCGCTCGGACGTGTGCATTTTCTCGACGGGGATTATTCAGGAGCATCCTGGATCATCCTGCGAAAAAAAACCACGCAAGAAACAGAAAAAAAACACAGGGAATGGACGTCCGAGCGATGGCCAGTGAGTGGTAGCCCCTCAGCCTATCGGAGCCCTCTTGGCCCGTTCTGGGGCGCTCGCGGCTCCGAACCTGGTCATGCGGGAGGTGCCAGCGCACCGCGGGAGGCACGCCGGGAACCCCAGAGACCTGGAGATGTCGAAGTGCTTGGCATCGCTCGGACGTGTGCCTGTTTTCTCGGCGAGGACCATCGAGGACCATCCTGGACCATAGCAAAAAAAACACGCACGTCACCGACAACTGCACGGGAAATGGACGTCCGAGCGACGGCAGGAGTAAGGATCTCTGAGCATTCGATTCCGAGGACTGAAGACTACAAGGGTCCTGAGGGCGGTGCAACTCGTGCCTCGCAGCACGGGGGCGGATGTGAAGGAGTCCATCAGTATGATGTCATCGTGCACGAACATGTGTGCGACCATTTCGGAGCCACACCTTGTCATGCGAGCCAGGGATCGAGAGAGATCCATGGGCTTACACTTTGGCTTCCATCCGCTCGTTCCTTCTTTGTTTTCTCTCGTTCGACCAGCAATCCGTTCGATCTCTTGTCCTGTGTTGTTGGCTGGTGCAGTGATGCGAGCAGTGCATTATGCAGTTCAGTTGGCCAGGTGGTGTCGCCGCGACAGTTCCAGGGCCAGTTGTAGACAGATGCTCGTCGTCAGCAGCAGCAGCGTCCTATTATTTCTCCTCGTCTCCGTCATCTTCTGCGCTCTTGTCCACCTGACCCGCCAGGGCCTCGGGTACTTCGCACGGTACGTCAAGCCCACGCCAATCTTGTTGCCAATCAATATCTTGGAGGACCGGGGCGTTGTTGTTGGTGTCTCCTCTTCTTCTCGGTTTTCTTCTTCGCATTGTCTGTATGATTTATTATTATCTATTTATTTATTTGTTATTATTATTATCCGTAAGGGCTTCGCCCCATGCCGCCTGCCCCTTGTCTCGGATAATGGGAGATGCAAAAGCTAAATCATGAGGTCTGGGCGCCGCCGTGAAGCAGTGTCTGGACCTGGTTGTTTTTTCGACCCTGACTCTACGGATCTGCGTCACGGGTGCCACCGAATTTCAGAGATGTAGTAAATCCTTTGTGTTTTTGGACCCTGGCCTTACGGATCTGCGTGAGGGGTGCCGCCGAATTTCAAACATGTTGCAAACCCCATGTGTTTTTGGACCCTGACCTTGCCGATCTGCGTGAGGGGTGACGCCGAATTTTAGAAATGTGGCAAATCCCTTATGTTTTTGGACCCTGACCCTGCCGATCTGTGTGAGGGGTGCAACCGGATTTCAGAAATGTGGCAAATCTCATCTGTTTTTGGACCTTGACCCCGCCGATTTGCGTGAGGGGTGCCGCCGAATGTTTAAACATGTGGCAAATCCAATGTATTGTTGGACCTTGAACCCGCCGATCTGCGTGAGGGGTGTCAATTTGCACCCACCCCAGCAAGTCAGACAACACGCTCAGGGCGTGGTAAAAATGCCCGTTTTGGGCCTCCCCCCCTCGCGCGGTCCATCAACAAGGAACAGTAAGCAGCAAGAAGTCAACAAGGAACAGTAAGCAGCAAGAAGCATATTTGTAACTGGAAATTGGAAGCTGCAACTGGTACAGGAAACTGCGAAGCTTCGGCCTACAGCCTGGTGGCCCCACAAGGGGGCCAGCGGCATGTCTGAAGGCCCCACTTGGAGCTCCACCGAAGGCCCCAGCGGGAGCGTCCGCATGGCACCGCCGCTCCATTTTGGCACACCCCTCACGCAGTTCGTGGCCCCATAGGGAGCTCCACCGAAGGCCCCAGCGGGAGCGTCCGCATGGCACCGCCGCCCCATGTTGGCACGCCCCTCGCACGGTTCGTGGCCCCAAGGGAGCTCCACCGAAGGCCCCAGCGGGAGCGTCCGCATAGCACCGCCGCTCCATTTTGGCACACCCCTCACGCGTTTCGTGGCCCCCATACGGAGCTCCACCAAAGGCCCCAGCGGGAGCGTCCGCATTGCAAGGGCCGCGCACGTGGCTCGGGCGAAACCAAAAAAAGCTCCACGCTCGCCCGCGTCAGCTTTTCTCCCGCTCATGCACGCCGCAGTCCACTTTGCTGCTCCCCCCTCCTTCGTTCCCTCTCCCGCACATGGTTGGGTCTTTCGTCAGTTTTTGTTTGTTTTTCACCCTCGCTCTCTGTCTGCGGCGTGAGCAGAGGCATGCCTAGTGGGAACAGTTGTGCATGTCAGCGCACAGCGCCGAGCAGAATTTAGGGAGGGAGGATGAGAGACGCTCCTTGGATGCCGAAGCCATTGTTCATCTTAGACTTGGTGGATGACCATTGGCCAACCGCCACTGCAAACATCAAAGATTATATGTGTGGGATGGCCCTTGCATTGTCACCGAAACCAGCGCAGAGCGGGGCCAACTTGTAGCCAAATCTGGGATCGGAGATGTTGTGGGTCTGTTTCCAAATTCTAAAGCCATGCAAGTGTTTATGGTCAAGGACTTTGGCATGGACAACATGGCCACCAGAACCCTCATATCTTATATCGCGGTTCTTCCAGCAGGAAATGCCCCCTATCACATTTGGTTACATTCTCGACCACGAGAAGGTACACCGCCTATCTTTGGGCAAAAACCCGGCTCAAAGGTACATATGGCTTTGCATTGCATCGTCAGGACTCGCTTCAGGATCGATAGCGTCATTGCCGTAAGGCTGGCTCGAAGCGCCCAGTCCTTGCCGACCTATCAGGGAGCTGCCCGCAGTGCGCTGACCTATTACAACAGTGACGTCCAGCCTGGTTTTCAGTTCTACGAGTCCGCCAACGCCATTCTCAACGATTGGGACATCACTGGCAGTTGCCATGCTCGCCCCGTACGGTGCCTGATTGCAAGCACAACCGTCAATTCGTTCGACGGGGACCTCGCCAAAATCCCAGACTTTGCTGGTGGCTCCGAAGATGGCTCTGATTGCGGAAACGCGACCGTCCCCGAGATCCAATGGGATCCGAACATGGAGACGGCCGTCTCGCAATCGAACAGGGTAATGATGAACAAGAGGAGAATACCATGACCTTGCACGGTTGGTACCAAGAGCTCATGTATGCTGATCTTCGATACGTGGAATCATGCGCCCGTACTGAACAGCTTCAGGTCCTCTATTCGGTCCCCGCCCTGATGATGCCTGCCACCGTTGTATTTGCTTCAGGAGCATGCCCCCCCCCCCATGTTCGAAGAGGACTTCATATGTTTACGTGAGCCTAGGGCCTAGACAAAGTCTCCGTCGCGCGGCTGTTAGACGACGCGCGCAGGGACAGCCGCGCGGCGGCGCACGCGGGCACCCTCGCGGCGGCCTCCTCCGCGGCGATCCCGCTGTGCCTCCTCGCCGCAGCCTCGGGCGCAGCCGCCGCGCTCGCGGGGCTCCAGCGGCGCGCCTCCGCGGCGCCGCTGGCCGTGCCGACGGAGTTTGGCGCGCTGTCCGAGACCGAGAGCCACTTGAGCTGATTGGCAGCGCCGGCTGTCTCCAAGGTCATACTGCTTCAGCCATACAGTCGACATCCATAACATGGGCGCAAGGTGGTGATGCAAGACCCTTGGACGCCCCACTTGCCATTCAGAGCTTCGCGCCGTGCGGTGCCCACGGTAGTTTCTTTGCCGCATCGAGTTTGGCGATGATGTTGGCTGTCTGTTTGCGGAGGCCATCCTCGTCTGTTCGTTTCCAATTATCTTCGGCCCCCCTCGTGCATAGCGTGTTCGCATGTGCGCCCCTGAAGCTGAATTCCGGAGTTTTTCGGGTTCGGAAACAGCTCGATGTTCTTTAGGTCATGATGTGGTTGCTCCTCTAGCCATCCTCGTGCACACGGGCATTTGTGGTGCCTAAAAGAGGTTTCGTTTCTTATTTCGCGTTCTTCATTGTGAAGGCATTACGGCTGGTGCCGCCGACCCCGTATGCGAGGAAGGCAGGGAGATGAAGCAGGTGGACGACGAGGGGGGGGTGTTTTTGGGGTCTTCCCGAGCCTCTTGGGGGTCTTTTGGTCGGAGGACACGTAATTGGCGGCGATCAATGGAGGGGCAGCGAGGGCTGTCGAAGAGGGGACCCGTGTGGGGCCCCTAGAAGGGCCCCTGCAAGGCCCAAGAGGGGGGCTCGACGGCCCAAAAAGGGCACCTGTCTCTTCACCCTCATTTGTCGCCCCCCCATGGACTGGGAGCCTCCTGGGGGCCTCTTGGGTCTTCCTGGGGGCCCCTTTTGGGGGGCCCCGACAAAACACGGTGCTGGTGCTGCCTCTGCTCCCGCTGCCGATTCTGCCCCTGGCCTCCCCAACTCCTGCCCCGGCCGCTGCGCCTGCTCCGCTTTCAGGAGCGAAAGAAGAACGCACACGCGAATGACCCCACGCTGGTCTCGAGAATACGCGTTACGCGAACGCGCCCGTCTCGCGGACTTGGGAGGCCGTGTTCATGCACGTGGTCGGGTGCGTACGTTCTCTGTGGGCTCCCTGCCCCCGTTCTCCCTGCGTCCCGGCCTCCAGGCCCCTCCTCGCTGCTTTCCCGTGGGCCCCCCTCCCCTGTTTCTTGCTCCTGCTGCAGATGCCTCTCCTGGGGTCTCCTGGGATGCCTCTCGGAGGCTGTCACCATCGTCGGAACCATTGCGCCCCTACTGGGGCAGGAGAAGTCGGCTCTTCCAGCGTACCCCCTCTGTGCGGGGAGGGGTGCTCCGAAGCCCGAAGGAGACGGTGCCCATCCCCACCTCGGGGGGGGGTAGATTGCCCAGTTGGGCCAATGTTTCCCTGGTGGGGGTGGGGATTGTTTTCTTCATCCAGATTTTGGAGGCAGTTCTTTTGAGGCCTCTTTGAAGCCGTTTGGGCCTCTTGGGGCCTCTCTTGGGCCTCTACCCTCCCCGTCATTCGTCGCCCCTTTTTCGATATGATATAATTATTTGGGTTTCCTCGAATTGCGTAAGGTGTCCATGAGTTTCGATGAATTATTCCGCACCTTCCGCGGAGGTCAGAAGGTATGGAAGGTGGAGGTGGAGGGTGAGGGGCCTCTTGAGGGCCTCCAAGGCTCCGCTGGCAGTCTCGGGGATCCATTGCTGCCGACCGAAGAGCTCAGCAGTAGAAGTTCCTTTGGCGAAGAGTGGCTCTCCCTCTCTTTCTCTCTTTCTCTCTCTCTCTCTTCCTCTCTCTCTTTCTCTCTTTCTCTGCGTGACTCGTACCTTTTCTCAGTCATGCTGGGCGATGCCAACCTTTATCACAAGGAGCGGTTGCGATATTCGCCTTCGGTTCAGCCAGAGGGTCGTGCGCCGAAGCGGACTGCCGTTGCCGCTACTGCTGTTGCAGCCGCTGTCGCTGCAGCTGCCGCTGCAGGTGCTCTCCCCTGTCCCCCCTTCTCCCTAGGCACCTCCACATGGAGCGAGCCGGCCCATGGGTCAGCAGGGGCGTTGCCGCACATCCCACCCAACGCGACAATGTGCAGAGCCAGATTGGAACTATTGGGTATCTTCGGGCGGGGCTAGAACGAGGATAAATCCGTTCCAGAGCGCTTCAGAACGCTCTCAGAGCGTTCCGGAGCGCTCTGAGAAGGCCGTTGCGCCCGAGATATTTTCCAGCGCCGTCAGATCTCAGCGATTCTCGAGTTATCCTCACCCGATTTGATCCTCACCCTGGCCTCGTCTTAACCTCCACCAGCCCATCCAGAAACGATGCCCAGGCGAGTTGCCCTGATCAGGGAAGTGTAGGAGCAAGCATAGGCACAAAGAGGGGGGCAGCCAGCCAGCCAAAGTCCTGGATCAGCCTAAGCAGACCCACAAGGCAACCGCACGTGCCTCTGCGGACCGTGCGATATGGGAGCTTCTTGGAAAGCTTATTTGGACCACGTGGGTGCAATGTGTGAGTCCTCTGGGCCCCCCTGGCGCCCTCTTGGGGCTCCCTTGCGGCCCCGCTGGGGACTTGCTGGAGAATCGGCCAAAGACCCGGGCATGACGTTCCCTCCGCACCTAAACATCGCCCCTTGGGGCGCCAACGGTGCGCTCTGGGGAGCTCTTGGTCGGGGGCGGCAAAGAGGGGGGGATGACTAGGGGGGGTGGATATCATGGCGTGGGCCATGATATTTCCTCAGATCTCATGGCGCCTCTTCTTATTTCATCACGTCCCTGGCCCCCCCGCTGGGCCGCGCACATGCCGACGGTCATGATTTGCACCCCCTCCTCTTGGACACCCCCATTTGGCCGCTCCCGACTTGGTGCAGTCGTGGAGCTCGTCAGGGTCCTTCTTGGGGCCCTCTTCGAGAGATCTCGGAGCCACGCTGAGGCCTCGGACGCCCGGCGGAGGCGAGCAGGCGAGCGGGCCCCCAGCCATCGGAGCAACAGGACGCCGTGGAATGGTTTGCCCGCTTGAGGATCAGGAGGGAAAGAGACACACAGACACAATTAATCCTCCATTCCCCAAAAAATATGGAAAATATGGGAAGTGGTGGGGAAGACAAAAACCCAGAAAATATGGGAGAATATGGAGAGTCTTTTTATTTGTGTGTATTTATTTGTGTGTCCCAGGGCCCCTTCAGAGGAGCGATTGAGGAACGTTTGCATGTCTCCTTCAAGATACGCAATCCGTTTACGACGTCGGCCTTCCTGCTAAAGGCACGCGGGCCCTTTTTCCCATCGAGTTCCGTATGGGCACGGCAATCGGTGCCGATCTGGAGCAGCGCAGTGTAGCGCAACGATTAATGCAAACAACAACGTCGTTGAATGGTTTTGACCCGCCGGGTGCTACGGTTCAGTCGGGCCTATCCCGCTACAGGGGGAATATTCAAGAATAGTAAAACATAGTCTGGGGACTATGTTTTGAGCATTTTGTGGCCATGTTGGAGCATGTTCTGCGTATGTTTTGGCTCAAGCCATTTTGGCTCAAGCCATTTTGGCTCAAGCATTTTGGCACAAGCATCTAGCCCCCAGGACTCCACCACTTAGTCTGTCCACGAACTTCCCAGGACATTCATGGCGCAGCTCAAGGACATCCAGACTCTGCTGGACACCGGTTTTGGAAAGTTGCGTCAGGATCTGAAGGGCGACATCATGAGGGAGATGGAGCAGCTGCTCGACACCAAACTCGAAGCCCGACTCAAGCAGCATCATGATGAACTTATGGAGGAGATCCGGAAGCTCCAGGAGAGAACCACGGCCTTGGAATCTCGAGCTGACGCAGGTGGCGTTGGCTCCAAGCGTGCACGCAGCGAAGGTCCTGGCTACCGGGCAACGCGCATCGACGACGACTCCGACAACAAAGTCCTCGTGCTCAAAGGCTTCCCATGTCCCATGTGGTCCAAGACGCTGGTCAAGCATGCTGAAACGGTCTTCCAGTCGCTTTCACCGAACACTCCGCTCCCCCAAATCCGCGCCGCCAGCAACACCAAGCACGCGCGCCTCATCTTCAACGACTCCGCTTCGGCGAAGGCCATCCTCGAAGAGTCCATCCGCGCTGGCCCACGGATTACTATTGGTTCGGAATCTATTCCACTTTCGCTTCAATGGGACCGGTCACCCGATGAACGCGTCCGGGGATGGGTAATCTCACAGTTATGGCAGAAGTTGGAACAGCACATGACTACAAAAGGCCTCCACGGCCAGGTCGGGTGTCGACGTGGCAAGGGTGAGGTGTTCGTCGACGTTGGCGGCATGGGGCAGCTGATCACGATCTTCACGGTTCTCGAAGACGGCGTCTCCACCCGCGTGCACACCAACGGGCTCGACAAGGTGGAGCTTTCCCCAGAGACGGCGGCCTCGATGGCCTCCGAGGTGGATTCGCAGCGGCGTTCACGCTGATGGCGCCCACGGCGGCGTGACGATGCAGAAGAGCATGATGACATGCATCTTCCGGCATGGCCGGAGAATTCGACTAATTTATCGGGATCTGTGCACGCATCCTCCACTTCTTTCTCAATTCCTTCTGCGCCGGGGGCCTCGTGTTCATCGACGCGGGCACGCAGAGGGAGCGACGCGACTCCTCAGGCACGCTCTCCGGGACAAGCTCCGACAGCCACGTGTTCTTCAACGCGTCCGCTCAGAGAGCAGGGAACTTTGCCTTTTGACCCTCTTCCTCCTACTTCTCGTTCTTCTTCCCGTGCTGCCTACTCCAACTATTTCTCGGGCGACCTCTCCGGGTGCGTCTGGAATGCACGGGGCTTGTGTTGCGTGGGCCCGCAACGCAGGAAACTCAAATCCAGGTACGCCGTAAACCTCGCCTACCGCCACGACTTCACCATTTTCCTCGAGGCCCATTCTGCCCAGAAGAGAAGCAGAACTCTTGAGCGGAAGCTTTGTGGGGACCATCGTTTCTTCTGGTGTGACTCTGACGCTGCCCCGAATGCTGGGGGGATCGGGATTGCGGTCAAGAGCACCTTCCTCGCCGACTTCCCAGAGATCAACTTCAATCCACGTATCGTTGATCGACTCTGTACTCTGTCTCTGCTTGGGTCGCGGGGGCATCTGGTGATATGTGGTGTGCATGTTGAGGGAGACCGGCAGCAGCTACTAGAAGAGTTGTCTTCGGTGGTGCGTACCTATTCTGAGGCCACTCTCATTCTTCTTGGGGACTTCAATTCGGTTGCATGCGAGTCCGACCGGTTTGATGCCACCACTGGTACCTTCACTGGCACCGTCGTACGGGACACCTTTGACACGCTGCCATGTCTTGAACTGCTCACCGAGCTGATGCAGGACGATTTCACGAGGAAAGAGGTTGATGCTGCAGGACATCTTCAGTACAGCCGGATCGACCGCATATTTACATCGCTACCGAGCTCTCTCCTAAGCAATCTTGACGTTCGCGTTGCCTCTCCTGGACTTGCCGCGCTCCCCCGCTTCGACTTGAGCGACCACACTCCCGTCTTCTTCACTTGGCGGCAGCGTAGCAGCTCAAGTCGATCCCCAATTATTCCAAGTTGGGTACCTCGGCACACACTGTGGGGCATCGTGCTTGATGAGCTCCGCTTTGCACAGACTGCCGACAAATGGGGCGATGAGGTCGAGATGAAGCGCCTCTTCCACAAGGCCAGCTCCGAGGTCAACGGATTCCTCCTTCTCCCCTGCTTGTTTGCCTTGAAAAAAAATGTTCTGCGTATGTTTTATTTTTCGTCGGTAATCCCCCTGTAGGGCAACACGCCCGACTTCGCAGTGCGTGGTTGAATAGTTTTTACCTCTCGGGTGCTACAGGGGGAGGTCCAAGCCCGTATGGAGCAATCGCTGGGCCGTCTTGGGGGCCTCCTGGAGGCATGCTGGAAGCCATACCGAGCCGACTTGGCCCATCCAGCGCCATCTTGGAGACCATCCTGAGGCTCCTGGGGCCGCAGTCGAGCCATCTCGGCCCCAACGCCTCCCAAGGATAGCCCCCCGGAAGGCCGAAATCCTGCGAACGCGTCAGGCTGTCCACCGAGACCGGCTTTGAGCTGATGCGGCGCGCGAAGTACAGGGAGGGGCGCGCATCAAGAAACCGGATGCTTTTCGTCCGGGCATCCTGGGCTTCGTTGCTCCTCGCGCTGCGCGGTGGCTTCCCGCAGCCGTTGAAGGAGCTGCTGCGCTCGGGGTGCTCCAGGGTTCCCCTCAGGTGCACCTCGCGCACGGGTTCCAAGGGCGCCCTCGCGGGCGCGAAGTTATTCGCGCTTCGCGGTTCGGCTCCGATTCCTCCTCATCCTCTCCTTCTCCCTTGGGAGGCGGCGCGAGAGCGCGAAATTATTCGCACTTCGCGCTTCGCGCAGCGCGAAGCGCGAAGTTGGGGGCCCTTGTTTTCTGGGTCACTCCCGCGTTTCTCTCGGGCGATCTGGTCTTCAGGAGCCAGTCGGAAGCGAAGAGGCTGGAGGGCCAAAACCATGTCAAAAACCCACAGGGTGCTGAATGTTGTTGGGCCTCTCGGGGGTATCCTTGAGAGGCTCGGCCGGTGTCCGCTTGGAGCCGTTCTAGAGCAGGACTGGAGCATGTCAGGATCCTCTGGGGTCACTCTGGTCAATTTAGTGTCTTCTTCGAGGTCAGTTTGAGCTATGTGAGGCCACCTTGGGGACATCTTGGGCCATCTTGGACGCCCCAAAGCGTCGCAACATCCTGGTCGAGACCCCCAGGGCAGGAGGTAGGGTGAGGGGTAAACCCTTCCCCGATGGGGCAGAAGGGGTGTTGCAATAGTAAGCGCTCTCAGCAACCTGTGACCCGAGGGCCAGTGGGGATGCCGAAGCGTCGTCTCTGCGATTCGTGACCGCCGCATGCGGGGTGCGGGAACCCGTGGCTCATTCTCCGCGTACCGCTCCTCCGACTCCTCACGCTCTTTCTTCTCCGCCGCCTCCCCACGCAAAGCACCCGAATCGCACTGCCTCGACCACCGTCGCGTCCGTGGACCCCCCAGCCCGCCTGGCCCCAGACCCCAGGACGGCTACGATGGCTGGCTCCAAAAGAGCCTAAGATGGCCCCAGGATGTCTCCAAGACGGGCCGAGATGGCGCAAGATGGCCTCAGGATCGCCCGAGGCGGCCCCAGAGGCCTCCAGGACGGCCCAGGAGGCTTCTAAGAGGACCCCCCCCAGGGACCCACCCATCCCCCACCCGCCCCTGCTGTTGCTCCTTGCCCGCTGGCTGCTGCGATGACGGCCTGGAGCGTGCCAGCCGCGCCAGGACTTCACCAAGCCGCTCAGCCTGAGCTTCAGGCCCGGGGGGGCGGCAGCAAAGTGGCCCCTTCCCCTGCTCCTGCCCCCCACCCACCTCCTCCCCCCCTCCTGATCCTCCTTCCTCTCCCCCCCTCCCTGTCCTCCCCCTCCTCCTCCCCCTCCTCCTCTTCTTCCTCCTCCTCCTCCTCCTCCTCCTCGTCCTCCTCCTCCTCCTCCTATTGGTTCCTATTGGCTCTGTGGCTGTCCGTTACCGCTGAGCGATAAAAGGCAGCCAAACAAAAACAGTTCAGAGAGCAAGGACGGTTGAAATGAGTTCAGGCGGTGGCGGACGTACAACCCGTATGAACAGACCATTTCAGCGGGGTTGACCGCTCTTCCTCCTCCTCCTCCTCCTCCTCCTCCTCCTCCTCCTCCTCCTCCTCCTCCTCCCTATCCTCCTCCTCCTCCCTATCCTCCTTTTCCTCCTCCTCCTCCTCCTCCTCCTCCTCCTGGCCCCTGTCAGCCTCTCCCCCTCCTGCGCCTCTCTCTGTACTCCCATGTGCGCCGCCATATCGACTCACAAGGGCCGCTGAGCTATTATGGCGCGCCAGTGACGGACGCGCCCACGCCTTCTCAAAAACAAAGAGGGCGTGCTCTCTTCTAGCACGGTCCCCCTATTTGTACCTCGTGTCTCTCTGTATCCATACAACCCCTCCCGCACAATCCACAGTGGCAGCGGAGCCTGTGGTTGAGATCCACGAGGGGAGTCAGGACGACTTCCCTGTTATTCGACTCTCGGGTGGCATATTCTGTATTACCCTTCTCCTTTCTTCCCACTCCCCACCCTATTGCGCCGAGCGCCGCCATGGATTCTCCAGACGGCGCTCAGCTTCAAGAAGACGAACTTCCAGCAGATCCTTGGTCACAACCAGGTCAGGATCGTTGGGCAGGAGCTGGAGGACGAGAAGACGTTCCTTGGGAAGGTGATGACAACGTGGGCTGGTCAGATCAGGACTGGGCCCGCTGGTCATCACAGCCCCGGGCGGAGACGCGGCTGGGGGACCGCGTGTGAACGTGGTTCGCCGGCTGCACCAGATCGGCAGATCACGCCCCTGCGAGGACAGGCCGTGTCTCTCACCCTTCTTGCCCCGACCCATTGGGGAGATACCATTGCCAGATCTTCCGATCGCCCACCAGAGCAATTGTATGAACAATCGGAGGCCCCAAAGATACCACGCGACCTACCTCCCACTTGGGTTGATGCCGATATTCGTCTAGACCCTTACATCAAGGAGCTGCAGATGCGGCTCGCTACTACCAGAGCTCTGAAAGCACAACGCGGATACCTCATCCATCGCTATGCCAAATACGACCGCAAGAGAAACTATTCTACTCAGACGGCACCAAGCGTAAGCGAGATGATTCTTCGGTCAAGCACAGCGCGCGCAAGCGCGCGTTTTTTTTTTTTCCGAGAACTCGAGAAGCGCAGGGCCCTGTCAGAGGTCTTAAAATGATGCATGCGCTTTAGAGAATCCAAGCTCAACGGCGCTGCTTGGGATACGGTTGAGCACCGGGCACATGGGTCCCGAAAGGGAGCGCGTCAAGGGGGGCGCGCTGGACATGCCCGACCGAAGCGGTGGACCACAGGTAGGTTGATGACTCGCTCGAAATGTGCCCGATGTGTGAAACTGGGACACTGGGCCAGGGGCTGTGCGAACGAGCCAGACGAACGATGGCGCGAGCGACAAGCCAGCTTCGGCGGCCTCCAAGCAGCCCAGGCGATGCTGCGTGCGACGTCTGTCAACGGGAACCTACGATCCAGTCTGGAATCGGTTTGTTTCCCATCTTTCCTATCTTTGCGATTGCCGACAGTGGAGATCAGATATTTGTTGGACTTCAGGTTCATATGGTTTTGGTTGGGTGGGCGCTGGAGCTCAGCGCGGAGTATGTGGCAAATATCAGTTCGTGAAAATGGTGCGATATCATGGACATACTTGCGCTCTGAAGCCTATGCAGATACTTGCGCTGGAGATTAACGCAACGGGCGTTAGGATATCTGCCAAGTTTATCTCCAGCTGGACCCTACTTACTGATGTGGCAATGTATTGCGGTGTGTTTGTGGTGCATTTGCTTGCTTGTGATGTGCCGTTGTTATATCCAGTGGAAATGCTCAGACAACTTGGCATGGTTCTTGATTTGCCAGGTGGCGCTATCGCTTGGAAGACACTCGACAGCGTCCTAGGCGTGCGAGGTAGCGGCAGGCAAGCACATTGCGATCGGTATGTTCGGTTTTCCCGAGGATGGTTGGCAGAGGAAAAAGATCATCATAACAGTCTCTCCCAATACTCAGGGGCGCCGCCAAGTCGTCGAGCAGGAAGACGCCGCATTCTACGTGAATCCGCTGGCGCCCTCGGCTCGAACTTGTCTGTCTCAGCCCACTGTCCGCTCTCCCGACGCTCCGTGCGACGTTGAGTCGCGCGCGGCGCATCTTCGCCAAGAAGTGGCCGCGGCCGGGACCTCCGACCGCCGGCAGGTCCAGTCACCCCGCGGTGACCACAGAGAGGCGGACGTGGAAATGGAAGCAGTTATGTTTGAAATTGTTCTCCATTCTGGGCCGCGTGGCCATAGGGCGCCGCGCGCAGGCCCGCATCGGCGCGAGCACCTGCGAGAACCTGCCAGGGGCGCCATGAGCCTGGATCCGGAGGCGGCATCGCCCGCGCAACAGCCTCGCGACGCGCGTTTTTTTTTTTTTTTTTTTTTTTTTTCGAGTTCTGAAGATAAGCAGCGGGGAGTGGTTCGCGGTGGGCAAGAGGCTGGAGCCCGACGGCCCGGGCACCACGAAGACCGACCAGTCCGCGCGCGCGCGCCCCGAAAACGCTTTGCGCCATGGGGCAGCAATAAGACCCCGTGGTGGACGTGCGACGACTGCCAGATGCGCTGGACGCGGTCCCCGATCGACGGCTTCATCAGCACGGGCGCCCCAGACCTCGTGGAGCGAGCGGCGTTCGAGAGTTTTGCGGGCTACGCCATCAAGGGGATCTACGAGATGGACTTCCAGCTTCGCGAGTGGCGCACGAGGGCCCACTGGTCGGGCGACCCAGCAACGCATCAACAATTCCGACGCTTTGCTACACGCGCGGCCGAGCGCGAGATGCGCGAGAGCATCATGCGCAGGGGTGGCTTCGAGGCGGTCGTGGAGGAGCGCGACGTCCGATGGATTCGCGCGCAGAAGATGTTCTCAATGGTCGCGTGGAACATGTCCGAGTGTATCAGGGACCCCGCGACGCCCTCTTTATTCCGACTGGCTTCGTCGGCCCCCCGCCCGCAGATGATTTTACCGACGAGCGGATGACAGCGGTTGTCTATTCAGATGGTTTTACCGGGTTTATTCCGGACGTTTGGTCTGGGCCGTCATGCGTCCGCGCCTTGGGCAAGACGTGAATTGGATATGATGTCTTTTGCCGCGAGGTTGCTACCCGCGCGATTTTCGCTGGCGCGCTGCTGGCAAGCATCTGCCCTTAGAGCACCTGTCTCAGCCAGGCTTGGCAGCTCACTTCCCCAGATGCTATCAATGTAAGCCTAGCTGTTCTAGTATCGGGTGCGCGTTTGGCTGTGCGCCGAAGTGCTGCGGGCGGTTCTTGGCAGTCCGCCGCTGCGCAAGACTCGGTCGAAGCGGCCGAGGCGCGCGGGGGAGAATGGCGACTGCGGAGCCTACACTTCATCTTCGGAGCTCGACAGCGACGGCATTATAACGATTCCCTATCAACAGGTCGAGCAGATCAAGCAGGCGCTCTCAGTGAACAATGCCAGCCTCCGTCCTCCTTGGAAGCATTTCCTGAAGAGATGGGCCCGGGGGGGCCCCCGTTGGTGGTCCCAGCGCCGGACCTGCTAGCGATGATTAAGTACCTGCTCAGCCAGACTGAGCACCTGCTGCCGACCTGCTGGCCGACCTCAAACTTGCCCACGATAACTCTGGTAATCCTGGGAATCGAGATTGCTCTCGACTTCTGAGGCGGGGCAATGCTACGCCTGAGGCAACGCGCTGGGTATTGAACTTCAAATTCGACTGGCGCGGTGCGAACGAGCGGCCCTGCGCTCGCCATCCTGCTGCTGTTCCTATGCCCTATCGCTTCAACAACGTCGTTGACATTGGCTTGGTCGAGGTCAAGGACCCACTCGATGGCGCGCCGCGTGCATGGACACGTGGGGACAGGGAAGTCAGCAGATGTAGCTTGACAGGCATGTGTACGCACATGTGCACGAGTGTCTGGCATGCCAGAGGTTGTCGTAGTTGCTCCTGGAACGGAGTTTCAGGAAACATTTACCGATAACATGCCTCGTGTTTTTTTTTCTATTGATGCCCGCTCTCCACGACAGAAGAACGGTCGAACAGGACGCGCTGGGAAGGAATGGAAAGGACAGCTACGTTTAGCCGTTCATCGGGTAGCTCTGGGCACTCCAGCCGAATGGTATGCTATGGGGGGGGGGGGTGTTGCTCTGTGCGGAACCGTGACCAGTGTCTGAGTGATTGTTTCATCTAGGCAGCGGGTTTTCGGTTCTACACAGCGTCTACCAGCGACGCTGCTCTCCGATGATCCCAGAGATCCCGAGCACCTGTCTACCGGTCCGGTGCAAGTTTTCCACCGAGCGGAAGAACTCCGCCGAGCCGCTATGAAAGCTTGGACTGCCTTGGACAGACGAATTTGATTATTCTGAGTCCTCCGTGACAGGCACCGCATGCCACCTACCCTCACGGAGGGGTAATTTGTGTTTATTTGGAAACCAGGACTAGTTGGTTCAGGGAAGTGGTTTGGACCTGGCGTGATCAACCCACTGCTGGCGGGGCTCGGACTCGGACTAACGCGCGCGGAGCACTGAGGCGCGTGCCTAACGAGCAAATGCGCAGCGCCGCCCAAGATGGGAATGGAGGCATAGAGGTCGTCAGTCGCTACTGTCGTGACCTCGAGATTGATCTCGAGCGCACTCGTGGAGCTCGTCGCTATGTCGACGTCACCAGAGAAGGAAATCATGTATTCCCCGGAGACGATCCTCTATGCGACGC